GGCAGGCACTCACTCTGCCACCTGCACACCTGTTGTGCATTTGTTTGTGATTACACCTGCTATATGTAGGCGCTCCGGCTGTCAACTCATTGCCGGAGTATTGCTTGCCGTGCCACTGCTATTGCCCATGCTCGTATTTCGTATCTCGCACTCTATTGCTATTCGCGACCATTTCGCCATCCCAGTGGGATCCTCTTTAACGCGTAGTTATTCGAAGTAAATTGTCTTATCTTTTCCTTGCCGTTTTTTGCAAGCGCTTTCTTTTCCTCACGTTACATTAATTCCTGGTTCTCGTTTTGACCAGCGTTTTGTGTTTTCCTTTTGACGGTGTTTTTTCGTTTGTAATAAATATTATTTGATAGACAAGACCTTGTTCAGTGCCTGCTATTTCGGGGATCCACCTATTCTTGTTCGCTCCGTTGCGTACGAAGCAGCTCTCTCCTTCTGCCTAGTACGCAACGTGACAGGAAGACGAACGAGGAGGACGTGGAAGACGAGTCGCCTCAGAAGACTGGATTTCACCCCCCCCACCCCCCCACTTCGCCCCCAAAAAAACGTGTTTTGTTTTTTTTTTTTCAATTCGTGACGCATCGTCTGACCGGTTCGGCGTGGACATTTTGGAGCGGGTGGACGTCGAGTTTTTTTTACGCAGCGCACTGGCGAAGGCGGACGTGACTTTTGCGGCTTTTAAAGGTTCTCGGTGCGGACCTGGCGTGGATTTTGTGTAGGGGACACCCCGCGTGACTTTAGGGAGTTGGTACGCGGAAAGAAAAGGAGAAGAAAAGCAAGAGAAGAGTCTTTTGTTAGGGGAGCGCGTGCAAAATGTAAAAAAAAAAAAAGTGCAGCGTTGGGAGAGGGAAGAAAAGAAACAAAAGTCAGACTTGACTTCGCCTGCATGCTGACTCAAGCGTGGTGCAGCGTTCACAGGGCAGGATGGATTTTTTAATGGGAGACTGTCCGTCTTACTAAAAGGTAAGGTACTAAAAAAAGCGTCACCTAACACCAAGTGGTGCATCACCAAGACTTCGTTATTTGTCGGATTAATTAAGCAGTTTCTTTTCCCCAAAATTATGAAAACATTTTTCATTCATTTGTCTTGTTAACTTATCCCCTGATTTATTCATAGTAGAGATTATTTTGCTTTGACTTGACTTGGCAGTGAACTCAACTCGCTACAAAAACCAAGATAGCAACTGTCAAACTAAACGCAAAACAAAAGTGTCATTTGTCCATTTAAAATAAACACAACCTTGCTTTTCGCTATCTTAACACACAAATGCCATAGATGGCCTCACGGATGGCATCGGTGCCGTGGTGTTATAAACAGATATTTAAACACAAGCAACAGATGTTTGAACACAAACAATGGAGCAACACATGTAGACAGATAAGCAACAACACTCACAGACGCATTCTTGATCCTCTGCAAAACAACTTACACGACTTCCACTGCCATGCAGGTGTTGTTCTTATCTGCAAATTTGGTTTTGAGGCCATCTACTGCCCCCAGGTGGCAGAGGGAGGCACAACAGAAGGAGCAGCACGATGCCCATTGAAGTCGAGCAACAGATGTGGCAAAAGTTGTTTCATTCTTTGCATTCCATTTAATTACATTATTACTTTATATTTTTAGAAAGTAGAACATTATAGTATTAGTTTTTTTAGAGGCTGGAAGAGATGAAAGTTTTGCATATAAACTGTACAAAAATATATTTTTTCAAAATATTTTATTTTCACATTTTACAGACACGTTTGAGCTTTTTAAAAACACAATTTTTACGTCGCGCACGTGGCCCTTATGTCCTGTCTAAAAATCAATTGCGGCCCTTGAGCACAATAGTTTTGTCCGCCCGCTTCAGCTTTATTTACGCTGCGATGAAACAACGGGCAAGCGTACAGTGCACAGTTCATCTCCTCGTAAGCATACATATTTAATACGCTTTTCTTCAATATTGGATGAAAGACTAAAAGCCTATTAATTATTTCTCAACACTTGTCGGCAATATTTACTCATCCCGTTTGGAAAGGAGCCACTTTATTAGGCCCACCGGAGGTAAAGTGTCCAAAAAATCGTGCTCGGTTTTGATTGACAGGTCTTCGTTGAACATGTGTTGAAGAACTCAACCAAACCTGTTCCAAATATAGCGGAGCCTCCAAGGTCCAACGCACAAAACTTAGAAACAATAAACAAAATGACGTCAACCCGGGGTCACGTTTTTGCCCTCACAAACTGCCTGTGAAAAGAGGACAGGCTATGTTTGAATCTGCACGGTAACAGGCTTGACTCGCTCACTGCCTGCTGTTTGCAAAGCAGAGTTCCCTGTATTGGCAGCTGTTGAAGCGCATTCTGCCTGATCATTCAAGAACCGCAGAATATCGTGTTCCGAGACAATATAAGATACCAAAACAAAAAGTTGCAAAAAAAAAAAAAAAAAAAAAAAAAATCTGGATATTTTCATTCTATAGTAAAAAGCAGTAGAATGTGGACTTGGGGTATTTCGAACAAGTACAGTCGCAGCCAAAAAAAAAAAAAGTGTGACGATATCCCAAAAACATGAAACGGAAGAGCACCAAAACTGCTAAATATTTCTCAAATGTCAGCAAATCTTATGAGATTTCAACTCAGTGCCCTTTTACAGGGTTAAGTCAGAAAGTTTTTGTTTTTTTTTGTGTGATGCCACTACAGATGCATATGACAACCACAGAACTGGCAGTTCAAAAATGGCCCCCAAATCATTCAATTAGTCATTCAACCAAAACATTCCAGTCATACAGTTAAAAAAAAAAAAACAACACAATGAGCATCTTCTTGGATTTAGCTTTCTACAACAATGCCAACCCAGAAGCTTTTTCCCCTGTATTTTTCTTAACTTTCTTTTTATACTTTTATTATCGAATTGTGAAAATATTAATGAAAATATTGCTCTTTCTTTATGGTTAATAAACAATGGATTCAAGATTAGCTAACTCACTTTCCATTATTTCCAATGGTAAAAATCATTTAAAAAATGCCCAAAATTTCAGGAATCACAGAACAAATTGTGACCGTCACTCAATCTTGTGTGCATGTGTGTGTGTGTGTGTCAAGATGTGTGTGGGTGACTGAAGACAGAGTGAGTAATCTCTGCTGGAAGCAATGCACACACAAACTAACACAAAAAAAAAAAAAAAAAAACACACACTGGCTTGGCTTGATTGTGCATGTGATGATTCACCCGATGGAAAAAGACACTGAGTCAAAATGTAAAGATGTCAGACGTGTGCATGCATTATCAACAGGGGGCATTAATTAATTAAAAGGAAAAAAAAGATGATTCAGAGACGAGAGCTGTAAGAAGAAGGTGACTCACCTCAGAGTGGGAGACGGGAAGTGGAAGATGTAGAGGAAGAACTCGGTGTCTCCCAAATCTTTTGCCTCGGGAGCCTTCGCGCCGATGCTCATTGTCGCTTTTGGGGACACATGATTGAGAAGGGCTGCAATGTAAACAGGTCGACAGTCAAAATGGAAAAGATTTGCTCGAAAGTTGGCTATTTTATTTACAAGATGACAAAAATCCATCCGAAAAATGTCCATTTAGCAAGGTACTGCTAGCTAGCTCGTCATTTTGTCAACAAGTGGAAAAACTCAAAGCAAGAAAATTAATTAGCTAGCTAGCAAGTTGGGCTATTTGATGACATTTAGAAAGTTGATTGTATATTTTGTTGACTTAAGTGAAAAATGTACAGTTAGGTAGGTAGCTAGCTTAACACGTGGAAAACAAAAATCGATGCAAAAATGAATTCGCTGGCCAACAAGTTGGCGATCCATGAACAAAGCTGACAAAAAAAGTCAAGAGCAAAAAAAATATTCAGTCAGCAAGCTAATTATATATTTTGTGGGGGGAAAAAAATGAAAAATGTATTATGTTAAGATAGCTAGGCGGCCATTTTGTAGACAAGAGGGGTGTGGAAATTAGTGGAACAAACTAATTAGTTAGCTTATTAGCAAGTTGTTATTTTTCATTTACAAAATCTATCCAATATAACATATTCAACATTTATTTTCCCCCAATGTGTTTTTTGAAATGAAATGTTTAATCCATTCCAATAACTTAGCAAACAATCCTCATTGTTGCCGGTGAGAAAATAAAGATGCCTCATCCCCTCATCCTTCACACAGTCTCTTCGTGCTAATGGCATACCTGTATTCACAGCTGGCAGTTGCCACGGAAACGAGTCACCTAGCAGCAGCAGTCGCGGCACGTAACGTTCCGAAGTGCCCCGTGACGTCAGTCAACATGTCCAAAGGATGTGAAATAATGTTTTGCTAAACAGAGTGAAGTCATTTGCAGAGGAAAGCACTTAAGGCTATCATTACACGGTCATTATTCATTGAGGGCTCACTGTACAAAATAGCTTATTATGCAATGTCTCGCCGCTATGACGTCACGCTACTTACGTGCTTGATGAAAACGCTATGAATATTTCAGATCCCCCACAAATACTCGCTGCAGATAAATATAAATATGTACTGTCACGCCCCTCTATCTCTCTACATCCACACACACCAACAGTCACACTGACACGTTTGTCTGGCTCCCAAATTGCCGTTCGACGATAAAATTCCAAAAGATGAATTACCATTGACCCTTTTATAGTTGGTCACAAAATGGCAAGCACGGTGAAAACTAATCTTTCTATCACACGTTTGTGATGCTTTTCTTGCGCTACGAGCTTCCACTTGACACAAACTGTGGCGCTCGCTCAGGTCGTCTCAATCGCTCTCCGGGATAATTGTCATACGAACGAACAAACGTCCTGCAAGCAAGATTAACTGTACTCTCCCATCTTGAACATTCTCCTCTGCCACGCTTCTCACTGAAGAAAGGAAATCTCTCCCTCCCCCCCTCCCCGCCCCCTCCCACTTGCTTGCTCTTGAAAGCTTTCTGTTTGACGCGCACTTGGAGAGCAGAACACGGCATCGTAAGAGAGACGCCAGTGAAAAGAGGCCGCTCTCGTCGCTCCTCGTGTGATTCACCATCTGCGATTAAAAAGCGCTCGTGTGCTTCCCGAGCGGTGACAACAGGAAGAGTGACACGGATGAAGGGGGAGGGTTTATATTGAAAAAAAAAAAGCCGACTTGACAGCCAAGCATCTGGAATGAGGCTACGGGTTGGCATGGCTGTCTTAGAGTGCCTCGTTGTTGACCATGAGTCCGTGCACTTAACAGGGAAAAAAGAGACAGACCTGGCATTATTTTCACCACCACCCTTCTTCTAAATTGGAAAATAGTGTAGACTAAAATATCGCTTGCTGCTTTTTTTCCATGCCACCTGAATTTGTTGTTGAAAATACATGAGCAACAGAGGTGAAATGTGTATACAGTTTGTCATAACATTATAAGTTGACTCCGCATTTTATATGATTTTTGACAGTCATAACGGCACTCTGAGTGGAAACTGTAACGACCATTTAGCCCGCAATGAAAATGAGTTTTGACATGAAGCCGACTCATTCTTCCAATCTGAAATCTAATGGTTTACATTACATTAAGGAGACGGACTAAAAATAGCTCACAGAGAGAATATCATTAGGAAAAAAAAAAAACCTTCTCGTAAAGTGAAACCTTGCACGTGAGCCAAAATGGCTACCCAGTCACTGTAATCTCCTTTGTGCTTCAAAGGCACAATGCTAATGTTTATGCCATCCCAGATTAAACACGCATTTAAACCCAAATGAAGGCTCCTTAAAATAGACGCGCTGTGTGTTTTAAGCTCGGCGTGGCTATTCATGGACATGAGGCCAGCTGGTGATGACTCATGGGAATGTTGCATTGAGACCGCTCTCGATATGTAAACATCAACAGCGTTGATCTTGCTCTGCTTGTTGAAATGGGACAATAATTCTCATGAACAGCCCTGGTATCGGGTCTTCAGTTTGATACTGTACGTGTACCTGCAACACAGGGACATGCAGAGGCCGAGGCTAACGGGGCGGTGGTCCCGGGTATCCACCTCAAGCGGAGGGGAGAGTCTTTGAAAAAGCCCCATCCGCCCCAACTCTATTGACAAATCATTTATAGGGAGCACCGAAACCAGCTCTTCACCTCAGGCAACTCGTGTGCTTCTGTGTGATAGACGTGGAAACATCAGCTAGTTAATTTAGTAAAAAAGCAGCACAAAAAAAAATCTGTGCTTATTTCATTAGTTGCTGATTTCACTAGAAAAAGTTTAAAAATAATAATAATAATGAAATAAGTGCAACAAAAGTGTTTAGCTCATTGGCTAGTTGGCTGATGGGTTTACAAGAGTGAAAAAAAGTCTGCGTGAAAAATGTAAAGTTAGCTAGCTTATTGGCTATTTCGCTAAGTGAAAACGTGCAAAAGAACATATTGACTAATTCAACTAGCTAGCCATTTTGTTAGAAAAAGTGGAAAAAAGAAATCCTCATAAACCCATTACATTTACAAGCTAATTGTGAGTTAAAAAAACAACAACAACAACAACAACAACAAAGGTATAGTATTAAACTAGCTAGCCGTTTGGCTGTTTCATTAACATATAAATATATAAATAAATAAAGAATCCAAGAAGCGTATTAAGTTTTCTGGTTATTTGGCACTTTCATTAACCAAGTGCTAATTCAAGCTAATTCATTCAAAAGTGAAACAATTCTTTGAATTAGTTGGTTAGTTTGTTAAAACACCAAGAACAAAATTCTACAAAAAAACTAAAATAAAATACAAAAATACACTCATAGCTAGTAGCTAGTTGTCCATTACGTTTTTCTCACTAGCTAATAAAAACATGCTGGCTGGATGACTCCCCTTTGCAACACAAATGTTTTATGTGGTAATCTTACCAAATCTTTGCTTTTGCTTTTTGTTGTCCATGTAGGTTAAAGTATGACTGCGGCCGCGGGCGTGCTAACAGGCTTGGCCAAGCTAAAGCGCCAGGATTCGGCCTATTCTCAGCAGCGGCCTGCACCGGCTACATCTACTGGTCTGGCCAATGCTGCCCAAGAAGGGGTTCAAAGGTGAGATTTTTGTGACAATTTTGCAATTAAAGTCCATAAGATTCGATTATCCAGCTTTGGCATTTCACGTTATATGTTAGCACTGAGATAGCGGACTTAGAATTTAAATGCTTATCACTTTTTTTTCCCTTTTATGCGTCAGGTTTACGATAAACTTACACAACAACTTAAAACAAGCACACTTTTGCATCTTATTTGGAAAGCCGTGCGAGCGAGCATCTGCTTTTCGATTTTAAGGACTTCAATCTACTTTTATATTATTCCCATAGAAAACGAAAGCGGCGCACTGACGTGGTGGTGGTGCGCGGACGGTTGCGCCTCTACTCAGCCTCGGGGTTTTTCCTCCTCCTGGGCCTGCTCATCCTAGTTGTCGGGATCGCCATGGCCACGTTGGGCTACTGGCCGCAAGCCTCAGGCCAAAGCCTGCCTGTTGGTGGAGGATCCAAGGCGGCGGTGGAGGAGAGTGCCCTGAAGAACTCCAGTCGAAGTCAAAACGTAGAAGGTAATATGAAAATAATATTTGAGTTTACAAAGTCAGATTTGTTTGAAACAGACCTGTTTCCCCGCATGCAGGTCGGCCCACAAGGGGCGCTCTGACACGGTTCCTGGAACAGCATCGGCACTCTGAGAGGATGAAGATGTTTGGGCCTTTCACCATGGGTATCGGGATTTTCATTTTCATCTGCGCCAATGCCATTCTTCATGAGAACAGAGACAGGGAAACAAAGGTATTACTGTATTATGTTTATTGGCCAAAAAAAAATGTGTGCTACAAAAATCTTAAATTAGCAAGTCAGCTGGATATTTCGTGAACAAAAGTGAAAAGAATCATTGTGGAAAATGTATGAAGTGAGCCATTAAGTTGGCTATTTTTGTCCACGAACATGAAAAAAAAAGTACAACAAATAGTTGAGGTTTGCTAGCTAATTGGCTATTTCATCAACAAGCATGAGGAACGCAAAAAAAAAAATATTATTTCATGAAAAAAAGCCATTCTGTTGTCTTTTTTTGTCCACAAAAAAAGCTAAAAAATTAATGACGCTAGCTAATTGGCTATTTTAAGTGTGTGTGTGTGGGGGGGGGGGGTGGGGGGGGTCTGTGCAAATAACCTTAGCCATAGCAGCAAGGTCACGTTGGAATTTTCTTCCTCCCTCACACAAAAGGCAAACTTCCACGCCTCATTCAAGGCCCGACATTTTGAGCGGGAAGATTCGTGGATTATTTATCGCCAAATGTCAAAGGCAATAAGGGCGGTGCTGTTTTGGTTCGCAACAAAATCTTGGTGGGCCGGGGGTGGGGAACAATAATTTTGTTATTTTTATGTCTTTCTGTCATGATGATGATGATGATGATGATGGTGTCCTGTACGTCTGTGTTCCGAATCATTCCCCAAAAGGATTTATTTGTATACAGTGGACTATGTAGTTCAAGCATCAGTCAAATGAATTAAAAAAAAAAAAAAACATAGCTAGTTAGCTATTTCATTTAAAAAAGTGAACAAAAATATTTACAACAACTGTATTAAAATTACCTAAACTATTTTAGAGTACAGTTTTTGTTATTTTATAGTATGTCGTATTTACTTGTGTGGTAGTGGGCCAAAAATTACTCGAATAGTGTAAAAAACATTCTACGAGTGCGCTGAATTGCCTTAGCGGTGAGGACAAAGCGCGTACTAGCACCTATCAAAGATATTAAATAAATACCCAAACAGCTTTCCAAATAAAATTTTAAAAAAATGAACATTTTGGTTCATTATTTGAATGGTGGACGGTGTCGAAAAATGAAAGGTTGAAGACTACTTCTGGTATGTTGTAGATCATCCACATGCGAGACATGTACTCCACTGTCATCGACATCCACCGCCTCCGCCAAAAGGAGCAGAAGCATCACGCCCAGCACAACTATGCAAGAGATGACCTCCGAGGCCACGGCGACGACACCAACCCCCTCGCCGCCTTCTCCTCTTGGGCCGGCGGGACGTTCCCTGAGGAGGAGGCGCTGCTCGGGGACGAGGAGGCTCGCAGGCGGTGGGAGCAGGCCAGGTTGGAGTGCAGCTTCGCGGGTCTGTTGGCGCCGCTCTACAAGGACCGGATGTCGCCCGAGGGTGCCGACGGCGAGAGGTTAGGCCACCGCGCGCGCTCCATCGTGTCGTCTTCCATCTCGGCGTTCACGTTGCCCGTCATCAAACTCAACAACTGCGTCATCGACGAGCCGGAGATGGAGGCCATCACGGAGGAGGAGAGAGGGGGACGCGGGAGGGATGACGAGAGCTCGCAAACGTCGGGCGCCACGGTGTCCCTAGCGGTTCCGGTGGCGTGTGTCGCCAAGGCCTCCAAAGCGCCGCGCTTGCACCGGAGTAATTCCGCCTCCTCCTCCTCGTCCGGGTCCTCTTCCTCCTTGGCGCCGTCGTCTACCTCAGGCTGTTGGCTTTCTCCCGTTGCGGCGCGGCCCGATTTTGGCTCCAACTCCTCTCTGCACATGCTCAGCAGTCACTCCAAATCTCTGGACCTGGAACGCCAACCCAGCATGCTCAGCGTGCACCAGGAACAACGCAAACACCCCAGCTGGCCTCGCTTGGACCGTAGCAACAGTAGCCGCGGCGTTAAGGGCTACACTCGGCTCGAGGACCGAGGGGATGAGCAACAGTGCGGCGGTGCGGAGACAAGGGCGGTGGCGCTTCCGCCGCCGGCCTCCGTTGTCAGCCGGGACTACAGCAAGAGAGAGAAGTTGCTCATGATATCTCGGTCGCACAACAATCTGAGCTTCGAGCATGACGACTTGAGTGGCGGGTCGATGAAGCGAGGCAGCTCAGAAACCCGCTTCTAAGAGCCAGGATTTATTCGCTCGTCCCTCTCAGGCAGGTCCCTCCGAAGACCCACATGGATAGCTAAGTGTTGCTTCCACAGCCTGATGTGGGTTACTCGATTAACGAGACGGCACGAAGTGGGCATTAACTCATTCAGTACCAGCCAATTCTGGACCAAGTCTGAAAAGTCTTTGGGAGTGAATGAGTTAAGTCTCAAATACTACGTTGTCCATCCAAAGCTGGCTTTTTCTCGGCACACTGCGCTGTGTAGAAGCGATCAATTGACCATGGTGGCGTTGAAGTTGACACGCAAATTTTCCAGCTTCCGACAACCTGGATTCATTCACTTGTCCCTCAGGGGCGGAGCTGCGCGATCAGTCTCCGGCCAGTCTAACCAGCAAAGAAAAAGGCATTATCTCGTCAATTAAGCTCAACCAAATGTTGCTTTTTACTGACTGATTGCGTCGGACGTGGGAAGCCAACAACAAAAGAAGTAAGGTTGTTAAAAAAACACTCCCTCCTCTGATACGAACGATACAGATACCACTTCGGATACCTAACACCGATACCTAACACCGATACCACGAGATATACTTTTCCGTTTTTTTGTTCTTGACCAGACAACCTGGAATCATTTCTTGTGTATTCTGTGTAACTGTTGTGATTCACGATTAAAAGGTAACAAAGCACACTCAAACCCGTTATTCTCAAAGATGAAATGTTCCCTTGCAAAGCGCCGCTCTTGTGGCACGGCGGGTAAAGAGAAGTAAGCGATGGTGCGATAAATAAACTCTTCATGATGACAAGCAGCGGGCAATCAACAATATCTTTCTTGAAAAAGGGGATGACCTACGACCAGACGTAATAACCCCACAGCCAAAAAAAAAAGTTTTGTCTGAAAGGCACATGTGGGGAAAAAAATGGCTCTACCCTCCTGAGATGAGTTCTGAACAGAAATAATAAAGTTTGGAAACAAGGTTGGATAAAAGGCTTTGCAAGCGGCATTTTCTGGAGTAAAAAAAAAAAAAATAGGTGGCCAACTGTCATTTCAGCAAGGTCACGTTGGAATTTTCTTCCTCCCTCACACAAAAGGCAAACTTCCACGCCTCATTCAAGGCCCGACATTTTGAGCGGGAAGATTCGTGGATTATTTATCGCCAAATGTCAAAGGCAATAAGGGCGGTGCTGTTTTGGTTCGCAACAAAATCTTGGTGGGCCGGGGGTGGGGAACAATAATTTTGTTATTTTTATGTCTTTCTGTCATGATGATGATGATGATGATGATGGTGTCCTGTACGTCTGTGTTCCGAATCATTCCCCAAAAGGATTTATTTGTATACAGTGGACTATGTAGTTCAAGCATCAGTCAAATGAATTAAAAAAAAAAAAAAAATTCTTGGAAATCACAGCGTTCGTTACGTCACTGCATTGGCAACAGATGTTGCTTGGTCTGCAGTGGCGCAATAAATCAGGCGCTATTCACTTGCAATGAGAACCAGATGTGAGTCGGACAAAATGGCAACGTACCACACGGGCCCCTGTATTGTGGACCGGAAGTGATTCTGAATACAGCCTACGTCTTCCTTACGAAAAAAAAAAGAGCAAAGAAAAAAAAAAACGCTCTACTTTCCAATAAACAGTCCTCCATTAAAGCCCTACTTGCCTGGATGTTCCTCTCAGTAATTCTAATTCTCCGTCGCAAGTCTGAAATGAGTCACCAGTAAGTATCGTAAAAGGCTTCGCAGTTGAGAGCTATTTCGAACTTCCTCAAACGTGCTTCTGAAAATTCAACACGCACGGCAAAGCATTAAAAAAAAAAAAAAAAAAAAAAAAAAGTGACGTCAAGCGCAGCGCTGTCGTCGATGTAACCGTGGGAACGGGTAATCACTGTGACTCTCTTTAGAAGGAGGAACGTACAGTACCAATGCGCAAATTGATGGTGTTTTAAGTGTTCGAAAAAAAAAAAAA